GTCATGCTCCATCATCATTCACTGTAACAGTTTAATTAAACTCATCATTTAACGTTGTGTTTAATGTAGTATTATAGGATGCCCATAATATTTATTAAAGTTTTTAGTTATACAGAAAAAAAATTTACGTTTATTTTTTCCGGCGGCTGGGGTGCCAGAAAAAAACTGTAAAATAACAGCCGTTAAATTACAGAAATTTACCATAGAATAACAGACGTTAAATGAAATATTTACCATACAATAATGCCCTTTAAATTACAAAAATTTACTGTAGAATAAAAGCCATTAAATTACAGAAATTTATCGTAAAATATCAGACGTTAAATTACAGAAATTTACTGTAGAATAACAGCTGTTAAATTACTGAAATTTACTCTAAATAACGGCTGTTAAATTACAGAAATTTGCCGTAAAATAACGGACCTTAAATTACAGAAATTTATCGTAGAATAACAGCTGTTAAATTACAGAAATTTACTGTAAAAAAACAACTGTTAAATTAAAGAAATTTACCATAAAATAACTAACAATAAACTACAGAAATCAAAACATTCTCATGGCTATTCATAACTTTTTGATTTAGTGGCTAATTCATATGAATTTGTACGATCTAATTGTTACAATTTTGTATGATTTGCTCATCACCCAATGACGGTTGGGGTTAAGGGTGGGGTTGGGTGCCACGCCTCCTTTTTTTTTCGTACAACTGAACTCCTACGAATTCTTGAGAGTTAGCCACTAAACTGACGTAAAATACTTAAGCTTCCTCGTGAGATCAGGCTGAAAGAAATTTACCATAGAAGAACCGCCATTAAATTACATAAATTTACCATAAAATAACAGACGTTAAATTACAGAAATTTACCATAGAATAACTGCCGTTAAAATACAGAAATTTACCAGAAAATAACTGCCATTAAATTACAGAAATTTACCGTAAAATAACAGATTTTAAGTTACATAAATTTACCATAGAATAACTGCCGTTAAAATACAGAAATTTACCAGAAAATAACTGCCGTTAAATTAGTTAGGACATTCTCCTCTGCACCTGCGAGAAATAACCCTCTCTTTCTTCTTTTATACGCCCAGTCTTTTTATTTATGGACCTGTTTGATGATTTGATGATTGGTGAATGATTGTGGATTAATCAGCTCAAATATGCATTTATTTTCCTCTTTCCTTTTCTGATTTTTTAAAATTAATGTTTTAAAAACAATTGTAAATGAAGAGAATGTTAAAGTGAAAAACTCTCTCTCTCAATTTGGAACACTTGCAAAATTGAAGCTATTGAAGGGAAAAAACAGAGGTTTTGACATTTTTATTGCATTAATTAAATTAAGGATTAGGATGAAAAATCTGATTGACTCACTGGAAATTTACTTGAATTTTTAATTTAAATGGTGTGTGAAAGAAGCTGTTATAAAAAATGTACTGTGCCTTTTGAGTAAATTAAAGACGTTTAAAAGCCTCTCACACACATTCACAACCATACACCGTATTCTCTCTATCTCTCTCACATACACAAAACACACAGAAACGGAGAGAGAGTGAGAGAAGTGTGTGTGAGAGTGTTCTGTAGGAGGGGTGTAAGAACTTAAGATCGATTGACAGTGCAACGTTGAAACAAAACAGTGCGGCACAAATCCTCCACAAGGAGGCACCAGAAAGAAACGAGAGAAAAACCTCTTGGAGACATTCTGAATCTGCGGAATAAATAATGACACACCTGTGTGTGTTTTAATGCATTTACAACACCCGTACTGAATGCGCGGGATCTCAACATATTGGTTTAAAAGTTTATATTATCAATACACTATATACAAAAAAGCTACACTGTAATACAAAAACTTTCACTGCTTTCAAAAGACCTACTTTAACCTAATTTCCCCTTAATGGTGCATTTGATTACCTTAAAGGTGTATATTAGTATATATTATTACATAGTAGTTCCACAAAACAAAACATGCCTGTACATTTTGAAAGATTTTAGACTTTGAGTAATTATTTTTGAGCGGTTATTTCATTGTCATTTTTATCAACAATATTAAGCCAAGCTAAAACTGACCTTAACTTATGATATTTTCTGTTCTGTCTGTTGAGGCGTCTGATTTCATAACTATATATTTACTATAGACTTATCCAGTCTTATGTCATCATCCAATCAGGAAATTATATATATATATATGTTTTCATCTTCACAAAGGCTACTATTAACTAACATCCTAACAGCTAATCCCTGTGTTTAGAGACTCCTCACTCTTTTTAAAAATTTTTAGAAAGTCTGTTTACAGTCGACCCAGAAACCACATGGTGAAATACCACACAATGTCCAATATCATTGTTTAAAAAGTGCTAATTCTGTATCAGACAAAGTAAAAACAATAGCTCAGACTATAAAGTTGAGATGAATTAAAGTAAATGAGAACACACTGGTGTTTTTAATTCAATTTAATGAGTTATGGCTTACAGAAATAAACTATAACCTAATATCTTTGTATTAGACACAATAAAAGGCTACATAAAGGCTTTGAAATGATCTGTTGATTCCCAAAATATGAGTGTTTTAAAGTGTTTCGCTTTGAAATTAGGGTAACACTTTATTTTGATGGTCCATTTGAGTATTAGTAGACTGTCTGCCTAATATCTGTTGATACTGCTCCTTCAACAGACACAGCTATAAGCCAATCAGATTCAAGAATGAGACAGAACAGTTGTATATGTTTATTTATTCATTTTAAAACAAGAAATATAAATTATGACATCAGTTTCATTCTATATAATTTTGATTGATTTGTTAACGTTGTATTTGGTATGGTAGCCAAAAATTGCCAGTAATAATAGTATTGAAGTTGTGCATTTGGTTTTTTTTTTTTTTTTTTTTTTTGGTATTATTATCATGTTTTCAAGTTTTATCAATAATCATTATCAAGTTTTAATGGTCTATTTAAATTTTATTACTTAAATTTTATTTATTAATATGCTTTTGTACAATTTTAGTTAAGTACAGCGCATCCAGAAAATATTCATAGCGCTTCACTTTTTCCACATTTTTTATGTTACTGCCTTATTCCAAAATGGAGTAAATTTAGTTATTTATTCATTAAAAAGACTTTCTGAAATTGTTGCAAATTTATTAAAAATAAAAAACATATAAAATCACTTGTACAGAAGTACCCACAGCCTTGCTATGAAGCTCTAAATTGAGCTCAGGTACATTATGTTCCCACTGATCATTCTTGAGATGTTTCAGCAGCTTAATTGAAGTTGACCTGTGGTAAATTCAGTTGATTGGACATGATTTGAAAAAAGCATACACCTGCCTATATAAAGTCTCATTGCATGTCAAAGTGCATGTCAAAGCATAAACCAAGCATGAAGACAAAGGAATTGTCTGTAGACCTTTGAGTCAGGATTGTCTCGATGCAAAAGGCTGGGGAAGGTTACAGAAACGTTTCTGCTGATCTGAAAGCTCCAATGAGAAAGTGGCCACCATCATGCATAAGAGGAGGATGTTGGAACCACCAGGACTCTTCCTAGAGCTGGCAAGCCATCTAAGCTGAGTGATCGGGGGAGAAGGAACTTAGTCAGGGAGGTGATCAATAACTAGATGGTCACTCTGTCTGAGCTCCAGGGTTCTTCTGTTGAGAGAGGAGAACCTTACAGAAGGACAACCATTTGTGAAGCAAGCCACCAATCAGGCCTGTATGGTAGAGTGGCAAGTGATTATGCCAAAAGGCATCTAAAGGACTCTCAGACCTTAAGAAACAAACTTCTCTGGTCTGATGAGACTAAAATCGACTAAATTGAGACTAAAATTGAACTCTTTGAGTGAATGCCAGGCATTACGTTTAGAGAATAAAAGGCACAGCTCATCACCAGGCTAATACCATCCCTACAGTGATGCATGGTGGTGGCAGCATCATGCTGTGGGGATGTTTTTCAGCAGCAGGAACTGGAAGAATAGTCAGGATAGAAGGAAAGATGAATGCAGCAATGTACAGAGACATCCTGAATGAAAACCTGCTTCAGAGTGCTCTTGACCTCAGACTGGAGTGACGGTTTATCTTCCAGCAGGACAATGACCCAAAGCACACCCCCAAAATATCAATAGAGTAGCTTCACAACAACTCGGTGAATGTCCTTGAGTGGCCCAGCCAGAGCCCAGACCTAGATCCTATTGAACATCCCTGGAGAGATCTGAAAATGACTGTATCGTCGCTTCCCATCCAACCTGATAGAGCTTGAATACTTCCCGGATGCACTGTACATCAAGTCAAAACTATATAAAGATGAGGAAATACTCACTTATTATTTATATACATGCTTGTTGTTTTTGTCAGATAATGGTAACTTAAAAACGGTTTATTTTAGTTTTAGTTTAGTATGACAGTACTGGAATAACTGATGTAAAAAAGTACAAACTGAAACAGTGTTGTTGAGAAACAGAAACCAGAGCTAGCACTTAAACGTGACATTTTTACCTCAGCTCCTCAAGGTCTTCTGCGACTCTAGCATCCATCCCAGAAAGTTTGTCCTGTGTGTTGCATTCAAGTAGCATTCAATTGCATTTACCAGAAAAGCAAGCATGTGCCAGAATAAACCACCCAGTGACAGTTTTCCAGAAAGCACGGTGAGAGATTTGACTGTTTATTTTGTTCAAGACACCTGTGTCGGAGCCCTCATTCGACAGAGAAAGAGAGGAAGAGAGAGAGAGAAAGGGATTACCTTTATTGCTGATATATTAAAGTCCAAACTACTGTAAGTGCTTGTGCTTGAAAGCATTGATAGGGTTCTTTTATACAGCGTTTATATACAGCGTCTATACAAGAGACATTCGCGACTCTCATGAAAGCAAGAGGTGTCCATGTCCACCGTCTCCCTCCCGGTCCTTCCAGACTGAAACACAGACGATCAACAAACACAGAAACACACACACAATCGCACATCACACACCACATTCATCAAGGAAAAGCATGCGTATATGTTGGGGGAATCACTTTCGTGGAAATGACAACAAGTTTATTCTACGGGCAGAGCAGATGAGATCGTGAACACAAATGCCACCAAACAAGAAAAGAACCGAGAACAAAGAGGCTTCCTGTTTTCTCCCATTTCAGAAGGATTTTCAACAGCACAATCCGAACTAGAGCTAAACGAAAAGCAATAACTGCGTACATTCTAGCATACAAGCTCTTGTTAATGGCTGACGTGTGGTAACCCTTGCTGCCCGCTCCACAGGCAGGCGGAGATCATCAACAACATGGCTTCTGTCCAGAAGGTTCAAAACAACCCTCCAAAAATTCTACATTTCGTCCGGGCGATGATGATGATGTGCGCTATTGGATATTCTAAGTGGTCACGGTTTTACTTTCTTTCCTTTTTTTGTTGCAAACTTCAAATAAAATCATACATATTCTGCTCTCTCCTGCAATTTTAGCAACACCGTTTGTATGTTCAGTTCAATACTGATATGATTTGGTCATTTGAAATATCAGGTGATTTCTGTCTAGTAAACTGCATGTTGAAAATAGTAATGTTGCTACTCCTGGTTTCACTCTTAAAAATAAAGATGGAAGATCCAAAAAGAGGATATTTTGGATTCTTAAAGAGGTTTTTCAGTCAAAAGTTCCTTAAAGAACCACTTGATTTAGGTAATGTACAAACAAAAAGGACTACTTTTCATGGCAAACAACTTTTGTTGGATAAAAAAGTTCCATGGAATCATCAACGCCAATAAAGATCCTTTATTTTTAAGAGTGTAACATGAAATGTTTTGGTAATGTTCCTTTAAGGTTATAAAAACAACATATTTGAAAATGTTATTAGTTCATAAAACATCAAAATCTCTCAAATTCATTCAAAATATCTTCATCTGTGTTCTGAACAGGTACATTTCTTAGAAACATAAGGATGAGTGAATGAAGACTTTGAAGATTTTCATTGCGGGTTGATCTGAAAAAACATTTTTAAAACTAGATATTCGGAGAGCATAACGTTTTCACAACTTAATAGGAACATCAGCAAAACATTTGTTTGTATGTTAGCTATGTTTTGAATGGTACTCAGATATGAGATTCGGACTAAATTGTGTGCTTGAAAGGGTTTTGTCAGAGAGGAAGGGGCGGGATGAAAACAGTGACTGAGTCGTCTGATCGGACGCTCTACTTCTTCCTGTAGTTGCCGAGCTGAATGGCCGAGCGGTCGAAGACACAGCGGAAGGTGATTGGCTGCACCTCCCAATAGGGCACTGGATTACTGAACAGGCTAATGCCTGAATACATGGCCTTCTTTGTATTATAGCCTGGTGGGCAGAAGTCTTCTGTTCCCACAGCAGCGATCTTGTTGGAGTGAAGGTAGATCACCTGGAATTGAGAGCATGATGATAACTTCAAAACTTTGAGATCAAAATAAAACAACAATCTATAGAGTCCACTTGTTAAATGTGATGTCATGCGAAGCGGCTACTGGGTACAAGCGCTATTTCAAACTGTATGGGGAGACTCAAATGGTAATAATAAACGTTTACAAAGTGATGTAATACTTTCAAAAAATCATGATCGCAATCTTTAAATCCATGCCTAATATCAGATGGTCAGAAAGTGATACATTTTCTATAAATTGATAAAATGTTGGTATTTGTGATACAGCAAGCTCAGAGTACGCTATTATTTGATTTAAATTCATTTTAATGTGTGATTTGACTAAAATGTGGTCATAAACGAATATTTCCCTTAAATTCAAATAAGTAGTGGCTTGGACCCGGAAACAGTATTCCATTCGTCACGATTACGTCACGACTTCACAAGCGGATGAGGTCACGGCTTTGTCCTAATCCAAATCATACTAACAGAAGCAAAAGGCCAGCTTTTAAGCATATTTAATGGGCAGTGTAGTGTAATTTACTTAAAGTAATTAATTACTAATTATATCATTAAAATTCTATTTAAATTACTTTTCTAATTACTTTGTCTTAAAAGTATCTTTGCTAATCGGTAAGTAATTCGTCACAAAATAATAAACATCCAAATAAATCTCAATGTATAGAATTTAAACACTTGATTTTTTACATTTTGACTCCCTTTTCTAGAATGTTTTGTTTAGTGTTTCTATTTTGTAACACTTATATGTTTGACCACATACAGTTGAAGTCAGAATTATTAAACCCCTTTGAATTTTTATTCATTTATTTATTTTTAATATTTCCCATATGATGTTTACCAGAGCAAGGACATTTTCACAGTATGTCTGATAATATTTTTCTTCAGGAGAAAGTCTTATTTGTTTTATTTAATAAAAAAAATCATTTTAAGGTCAATATTATGAGCCCCTTTAAGCTATATTTTTTTAAATAGTCTACAGAACAAAACATTGTTATACAATAACTTGCCTAATTACCCTAACCCGCTAACCTAGTTAACCTAGTTAAGCCTTTAAATGTCACTTTAAGCTGTATAGAAGTGTCTTGAAAAACATCTAGTCAAATATTATTTACTGTCATCATGGCAAAGATAAAATAAATCAGTTATTAGAGATGAGTTATTAAAACTATTATGATTAGAAATGTGTTGAAAAAATCTTTCAATTAAACAGATATTGGGGAAAAACATACAGGGTGGCTAATAATTTAGGGGGCTAATAGTTCTGACTTAAACTGCACGTATCAAAACACAAAATGCTTCAAACTAATGACACAATATTTTATACATACTTTATATTGACATACATTTCTGAAGTATTTCATTGTTTTTAAGCTTGAGCAATTGTCGGACAATTAAAACCAAGTTAATTGAAAAAATGGAAAATGTCTAAATAACAAAATAATTTGAATTTACAGTACTCTGAATTTATATATAATTAATTGTCATAGACTAATTTCTCAATTTTTTTTTCTTCAGAAAATGCCATTGTCTTTGTTACGATAACCAGCGATCATTCACTGGAGATCGCTGGTTTCCTCTATCATCATTCACTTCACTTCCGCATTCCCCAGGACTACATTTTCATACATGCACTTCTCCCAATCACGCACGCCTGGTCACTCATCTTCCTGATTACATCACCAGCTGAAACCTGTTACAGAGACTGATTACACACAGTATTTAAGCAGCACACACACTCATTCACATTGCCGAGTCTTGTTTACTGTTTGGTGACATTACAACGCGTTATCCTGGTCTTGTTTTCCCGTGTTTTGGTTCTTAGCCCTGTTTATCCTTGTCATCCTGTTTAGCCGCCTGCCTTACGACCTATTGCCTGTTTATTGACTTCGACTCTGGATTTGCCCAAACATACCTGTTCATTCCTGTATTGACCACTGCTTGCCTGACTAAAGAATAAACCTGCATATTGGATCCTACCTTCTGTTGTGGTGTCACTCCCCGGTGTTACAGAAGACTCGGCCACACAATGGATTCAGCGGGTATCAAGATCATGTGTCTGCGTCAGGAAGCCCGGTCTATAGAGGAATACGTGGAGGACTTCATCCAGGTAGCCCATTTAACATCTTTGGATGATTTATGCCTGATGATATTTTTTCGTGGTGGTCTAGCTGAGCCCCTTTATTCATGTATGCCACTACATGAGCCCCACTGGACAATAAGGCATTACGTAGACTTGGCATTGCAAATAAGTGGGTCCCCCTTCACCGTAGGCGAGGTGGAGGACACCCCTAAATATTTTTTGGGGGGGGGCAAAGGACAGCAAGACCCGATGGCAACGGGGCTTGCTGCTCATTCCACCACCACACACCCAGCTCAGAAAATGGCCGCATCTAGTCCTCCAGCTTACAAGATGGCTGCTCCAGCTCACAAGATGGCCGCCTCTAGTCCTCCAGCTTGCAAGATGGCCACCTCCAGTCTTCCAGCTTGCAAGATGGCTGCTCCAGCTCACAAGATGGCCGACTCCAGTCCTCCAGCTCACAAGATGGCAGACTCCAGTCCTCCAGCACACAAGATGGCCGACTCCAGTCCTCCAGCTCACAAGATGGCCGACTCCAGTCCTCCAGCTCACAAGATGGCCGACTCCAGTCCTCCAGCTCACAAGATGGCCGACTCCAGTCCTCCAGCTCACAAGATGGCCGACTCCAGTCCTCCAGCTCACAAGATGGCCGACTCCAGTCCTCCAGCTCACAAGATGGCCGACTCCAGTCCTCCAGCTCACAAGATGGCCGACTCCAGTCCTCCAGCTCACAAGATGGCCGACTCCAGTCCTCCAGCTCACAAGATGGCCGACTCCAGTCCTCCAGCTCACAAGATGACTGCCTCCAGCCCTCCAACTCACAATGTGGTAAGCGCCAATCTGCCACCAGCTCACAAGATGGCTTCTAGTTCCGAGTCCGTTCCTGTCCTTGTTCCTGTTCTAGTTCCTAAAATGCCATCAACTGAGCCCCCAGAATGGCCACCACCACCTGAGTTGCCAGAGCTGATGCCACCACCAGAGCTGTTACTACCAGAGCTGCCACCGCCACCTCCAGAGCTGCCACCGCCACCTCCAGAGCTGCCAGACCCGCCAGAGCTGCCAGACCCTCCAGAGCTGCCAGACCCTCCAGAGCTGCCAGACCCTCCAGAGCTGCCAGACCCTCCAGAGCTGCCAGACCCTCCAGGGCTGCCAGACCCTCCAGAGCTGCCAGACCCTCCAGAGCTGCCAGACCCTCCAGAGCTGCCAGACCCTCCAGAGCTGCCAGACCCTCCAGAGCTGCCAGACCCTCCAGAGCTGCCAGACCCTCCAGAGCTGCCAGACCCTCCAGAGCTGCCAGACCCTCCAGAGCTGCCAGACCCTCCAGAGCTGCCAGACCCTCCAGAGCTGCCAGACCCTCCAGAGCTGCCAGACCCTCCAGAGCTGCCAGACCCTCCAGAGCTGCCAGACCCTCCAGTGCTGCCAGACCCTCCAGAGCTACCAAAGCTGCCAGATCCTCCAGAACTGCCAGTGCCGCTGCCGCCAGAGCTGCCAGAGCCACCGCCACCTGAACCTCCAGAATGGCCGCCGCCTCCTGAGCTCGCTGAATGGCCGCCGCCGCCTGAGCTCGCTGAATGGCCGCCGCCGCCTGAGCTCGCTGAATGGCCGCCGCCGCCTGAGCTCGCTGAATGGCCGCCGCCGCCTGAGCTCGCTGAATGGCCGCCGCCGCCTGAGCTCGCTGAATGGCCGCCGCCGCCTGAGCTCGCTGAATGGCCGCCGCCGCCTGAGCTCCCTGAATGGCCGCCGCCTCCTGAGCTCCCTGAACGGCCGCCGCCTCCTGAGCTTCCTGAACGGCCGCCGCCTCCTGAGCTTCCTGAACGGCCGCCGCCTCCTGAACTCCCTGAACGGCCGCCGCCTCCTGAACTCCCTGAACGGCCGCCGCCTCCTGAACTCCCTGAACGGCCGCCGCCTCCTGAACTCCCTGAACGGCCGCCGCCTCCTGAACTCCCTGAACGGCCGCCGCCTCCTGAACTCCCTGAACGGCCGCCGCCTCCTGAACTCCCTGAACGGCCGCCGCCTCCTGAACTCCCTGAACGGCCGCCGCCTCCTGAACTCCCTGAACGGCCGCCGCCTCCTGAACTCCCTGAACGGCCGCCGCCTCCTGAACTCCCTGAACGGCCGCCGCCTCCTGAACTCCCTGAACGGCCGCCGCCTCCTGAACTCCCTGAACGGCCGCTGCCTCCTGAACTCCCTGAACGGCCGCCGCCTCCTGAACTCCCTGAACGGCCGCCGCCTCCTGAACTCCCTGAACGGCCGCCGCCTCCTGAACTCCCTGAACGGCCGCCGCCTCCTGAACTCCCTGAACGGCCGCCGCCTCCTGAACTCCCTGAACGGCCGCCGCCTCCTGAACTCCCTGAACGGCCGCCGCCTCCTGAACTCCCTGAACGGCCGCCGCCTCCTGAACTCCCTGAACGGCCGCCGCCTCCTGAACTCCCTGAACGGCCGCCGCCTCCTGAACTCCCTGAACGGCCGCCGCCTCCTGAACTCCCTGAACGGCCGCCGCCTCCTGAACTCCCTGAACGGCCGCCGCCTCCTGAACTCCCTGAACGGCCGCCGCCGCCTGAACTCCCTGAACGGCCGCCGCCGCCTGAACTCCCTGAACGGCCGCCGCCGCCTGAACTCCCTGAACGGCCGCCGCCGCCTGAACTCCCTGAACGGCCACCGCCTCCTAAGCTTCCTCAACGGTCGCAGCCTCATGATCCAGGGCCACTGCAGTTCCACGCTCCAGGCCCTCCGCAGTTCCACGCTCCAGGCCCTCCGCAGTTCCACGCTCCAGGCCCTCCGCAGCTCCACGCTCCGGGTCCTCCGCAGCTCCACGCTCCGGGTCCTCCGCAGCTCCACGCTCCGGGTCCTCCGCAGCTCCACGCTCCGGGCCCTCCGCAGCTCCACGCTCCGGGCCCTCCGCAGCTCCACGCTCCGGGCCCTCCGCAGCTCCACGCTCCGGGCCCTCCGCAGCTCCACGCTCCGGGCCCTCCGCAGCTCCACGCTCCAGGCCCTCCGCAGCTCCACGCTCCAGGCCCTCCGCAGCTCCATGCTCCAGTCCTGCCCCCGCTGCATGGTCCTGGCCCTCCATCCCTCCCCCTGTTCCGCCTCCGCTCCACCTCCCACCTGAACTGTATTTGGATCGTCTGGAAGCCGCTCTTTAGAGGGGGGGCTATGTTACGATAACCAGCGATCATTCACTGGAGATCGCTGGTTTCCTCTATCATCATTCACTTCACTTCCGCATTCCCCAGGACTACATTTTCATACATGCACTTCTCCCAATCACGCACGCCTGGTCACTCATCTTCCTGATTACATCACCAGCTGAAACCTGTTACAGAGACTGATTACACACAGTATTTAAGCAGCACACACACTCATTCACATTGCCGAGTCTTGTTTACTGTTTGGTGACATTACAACGCGTTATCCTGGTCTTGTTTTCCCGTGTTTTGGTTCTTAGCCCTGTTTATCCTTGTCATCCTGTTTAGCCGCCTGCCTTACGACCTATTGCCTGTTTATTGACTTCGACTCTGGATTTGCCCAAACATACCTGTTCATTCCTGTATTGACCACTGCTTGCCTGACTAAAGAATAAACCTGCATATTGGATCCTACCTTCTGTTGTGGTGTCACTCCCCGGCGTTACAGTCTTGATAAATGTCAGCTTTGATTTTAAAATAAATATATTGGTAACACTTTATTTTGATGGTCCATTTGAGTATTAGTAGACTGTCTGCTGATTCTGCTCCTTCAACAGACATTTAACTGACTATAAGAAACTTACAAGTACATGTCAACTTACACTAACCCTAACCCCAACCCAACAGTCTACTTATAATCTAATGAGAATTAGTTGGCATGTTGACGCAATGTAACTTAATTTCAACAAACGGACCATCAAAATAAAGTGTGACCAATACATTCTGCAAAATAAATATTACTCTGCTTCTCTGAATTCAATTTATATAGAACTGTTGAAATTACATACAGTATTTAAAGCAAGTAACTTATAAGTAATTCATTGTAATAAAATTACCTAAAAATGACAAGTAATCCCTTTTGTTATATTTTAAGCAGTTACACCCAACACAGCTCATGGATAACATTTATTCTGAAATATGGTAAAAAAAAAAAAAAAATGAGATGAAAGAACACTAAAAATCAACACTGTCTAACTGTGATCTGCACTGTGTACTGTATGTGTAAATAGTCTGTTATCTTGTGTGAGGTCTGTCACCTGAATGTATTTGTGGTCTGCTAGGCCAGCTGGGACAGCAGTGAGTGCGTTATTTTCCAGGTGAAGTTCCCTCAGGTGAGGCACGTTGGCCAGAGAGCCGTTCTCCACCACGCTGATCTCATTGTGGCTCAGACCAAGCCTACAAACACATACAGGTTTTAATATCATTTAGCAAAACTGAAAAAAAATAATCATTAACTGAAGTAAATAGCAAACCACTAGTATACAAACAAAAATAATAATAAAATGGTTACAAATTAGTTAAATACATTTAACTAAAAAGAAAAAAAAAACGTGCCCCTTTAACTGAAAATAAAACAAAACAATAATTTTGTGAAATATTTTTACAAATATTTGTATTGAATTTTTAAAATGTGGTGAAAGTCAAATGAAATGTTTTTTTGAAACAATATACTTGCTTGTATTTAACAAATTAATTTATTGTAACTTTGATGAATAAAAGTATTCATTTTTTAAATAAAAGATTTATGTTAATGTTGCCCTAAAATATTTTAAAAAAAAAACAATAAAAAAAACTGCATAAGCTTACAACTGCAAAACTTTGAAAAACTGATACAAGGAAACTGAAAATAAAAATCAATACATTGTAAAACCCTTTAAGTTAAAAGAAATAATTCTAATAAGTGCTGTAAACTTAATCCATGAGTAAACGGAGCATTTTGAGCACAGTAAAACTTAATAAATGAAGAGAACCCAAACCAACTGAGTACTGTAAAACCCAATAAGTTAAGGCAACTCAAACCGTTTGAGGAGACCGATTGCTATAAGCCATTTGAGTAAAAAAAAAAAAAAAAAAACTAATCTATATGAGAACTGTGAACTTACTCCATTTAAGTTAATGTGATGAGGTATTTAATTAACCCATTAACTTCAACACTGAGTTCAAAACTCTTTTCAAATGACTAGAATGAACTTTCAGTACATTTTGAGTTATTTCATTTGATAAAGTTGACTGTTGGGTTTTACAGTGTACGAAAAAACGAAAAAGTACAAAAAAATTCCTATTAAACATGATCAGGATTGTGAGCCCGACATCCCAACAATTCTCCATTTTTCCCATGAAGCAGTCTCTATTTGAGTCAATACTGTTTTATAACATCTCGGCTGTGTTTCAGTTTCTGCATGTATGGTGGAAAATGTGTGTAATATGAATGTTCTAGTTTCTCAGTGCGATCCAAAGCAAACTGATCCTTGCGCTGATGTCATGGTGTACAATTGAGCCAACAGTCACCTCCAACCAAACCATTCTCATGCAAATTCACAACAAAACTAATGAATTCTGAACTATTGTTTCCCCTGCACTGCACTCTTTCCCTCCTGAGTCAGATTTTCAGATATTGATCACAGTTTCTGTCAAGCCACTTCTATAACCATGAAACAACACAATTTATCTCCAAGTGTTCTCTTTAATTTTGTTATTATTGAGCATTATATATATATATATATATTAAGCAGTATACATTAACATTTAACCAAGTTAAATATTTAAGCTAAATTAATTGTTTTGTGTAGGGACTAAATTAATAATTTTTGTTGACAAAACTAGTGTATTAATTATTCCAGTGGAAAAATATATAGATAGTAAATTTAATCCTTAAAGATTTAAGTGAACAGGGCAATATTGCTATATAACTTGCTATATAATAAGGCAATATTGCTATATAACTTATTTGATCATTATTAAAATGAAATTAAAATAACAGGAAGGTGGCTGCAATCTAATTCACATACAAAACCACAATAAAGAATATTTAGTATATTAGACAATGTATGTTTTAATAAAAAAATCAGTTGTTATTTATTAATTTAGTCTTGAGTATATACATAAGTACATACAAATCTCTACAACGAAGTAAGCTACAATAAAAACGGTCACATTTCTAATGTTTTTAGATACATGTAGCACTGGAAAACTGAAAAACAAATCTGAAATTAAAAGACAATCTAATTTAACGTGGGATCAATTAAACTATATGCTGTAATTTAGATTTGATTTTGGTATTATTGAGCATTATATATATATAGAGCAGTATACATTAACATTTAATCAAGTTAAAACAATAGGTGAACTTGATTATTTTCTGTTGGGACTACATGAATAACTTGTGTTGATATAACTATATAATAGAGGAAAAATATATATAGAGGAAAAATATCTATGTATAGACAGTTTAATTCTAAGTGTTTTACGTAAATAGACTTGGAATACCTGTTAAAGTTTAATCTTCATGTGTTTTTAGAGATTCAGAAGAGTTTTAATTAATATGTTGACTTTTGAGGTCATCACTATGGAGATTAATATTCATGCCTGATTAAAAACCCTAATTACAGTTTTTTTTTTGACTTAATATGACAACTGTGCTCTTGCTAGTCTTGTTTTACTTGCCCAGTCCATGTGTACATATAAAAACAAAAAGTTTAAACTGCATTAGTTAACAGAATATTCTAGTTGAACTCATTACCTTTAGGATTAATTTGTTTACAAGAGTAATTCAGAAAGTGATTTAATCTCATTGATTCAAAAATAAATTTTGGTCTTTGGTTCCATTTAGCAAAACAGCAATTTTAACAAGTTTAACATTTTAATATTATTTTAATAATAATCTTTTATGAACAGCAGATTTAAGGACTTCGATTAATTTAAAATAAAGCACATTTCTTAATTCCCCCAGCATTTGTAGCGCCATGAAACTCCTTACTGTTATTTCACCTATACTTATTATTTATTTTAAAATGTCAGCTAATTCAATACTGGTAATACTCAAATGTGGTTTCTTGATAAAATATTGGTCACACTTTACAATAAGGTTCATTAGTTAATGTTACTTAATGCATTAACTAACATGAACAAACAATGAAACAATACATTTACTACAGTATTTGTTCATGTTAGTTAACATTAGTTAATGAAAATACAGTTGCTCATTGTTAGTTCATGTTAACTCACGGTGCATTAACTAATGTTAACAAGCATGAGTTTGGATGTTAATGACGCATTAGTAAATGTTCAATTATGATTGATAAATGCTGTACATGTGTTGTTCATGATTAGTTCATGTTAGTAAATGCATTAACTAATGAACCTTATTGTAAAGTGTTACCAAGATATTAACTAAATGTGCAGTATATGTTGTAGTTTTTGTACAAAATTTAAATGTAAGATTTTTAAACTAAGGATTTATCAATTAATTTGTTCTGTTTTCTACAACAGCGCGTACAATTGCTGAAATAACAGCATAAACAAATTTCATTTTAAATATAATTCAAGCACTTTCAAGGACCTATGTTTGTTTTAAGGTACTTTCCAGGCCTTAAATCTATATGTCTGACATTAACAAGAAGTGTGAGAATACTGTTTAATTCATTTATTTTTCTACAGCTTTGTCCCTTATTTATCAGGGGTCATCACAGTGGAATGAAGCGTCAACTTATCCAGCACATGTTTTACCCAGCAGATGCCCTTCCAGATGCAACCCAGTACCGGGAAACACCTATACACACACATATTCACACTCATACACTGCGGCCAATTTAGTTTATCCAATCCTATAGCGCATGTCTTTGGACTGTGTGGGAAACCGGAACACCCGGAGGAAACCTGCACAAACACGGGGAGAGCATGCAAACTCCACACAGAAATGCTGGGTCCAGCCGGGACTCAAACCAGTGCCCTTCTTACTGTGAGGTGACAGTGCTAACCCCTTACACAAATGATTTGTTTATTTTTTGACAGTATGAAGATAAATATGTATCTACTTGGACAGGTTCTTCAGGCCCTTCAGACTGTCTGCGGTCACTTTGGTGATCTTGTTTCCATCCAGGTGAAGTTCGAATAGCGAGCTGGGCAGACCTGGGCATTTTGACACAGATTAATGCGCTGTATTGATGCATTGAGGTGAAAGGGATGTTCGTTAGTCTTCACTTTAGAGGTGATTCAGTACCTTTGGGAATAGAGGTGAGGTTGGTGTCGGCGATTCGGATGTAAGAGACCCTCTTCAGATCAGCAAAAGCCCCATTATCGACTCCGGAGCTACTCAGAGGGTTCGAGCCCAGCTCTGGAAGAGGGACACAGTCCAAATGTGCACTGTTTACATTTTGCCATATGTACATTTGCAATATTGTCACTTTACTGATTTGATCATTAATAAAATTAAATTAACAGGAAGGTACATACAGATGCAATATACACATGCATATACAAATCTACAATAAAAAAATAAAGATGTTTGTTATATTAAAAAATGTATGTTTTAATAAAAAAAAATCAGTTGTTATAAGTGGTGTAAAGTAAAAAATTACGAATACTCAAACTACTGTAATTGAGTAGTTTTTCTCAGAAATTGTATTTCACTAAATAGTTTTAAAATTGTGTACTTTTACTTTCACTTAAGTACATTTTTAGTGCAGTCTTGTTACTTTCACTGCACCACTTTCCTTCAACCTGCACCATTTTTCTTATCTATGGGAATTAGAAAAGTAAGTCCTGTGATTCCTGTCCAATCAAATCGCACATAGAAGATAAATCACATCATAAGGATCAACCTCAAGACATGGGCGCTTTATAATAGCAGCAAACAGTTTGAAAGTATGTCCAAAATCTTTACACGCATTGACCCAGAGCCTGTTTAGAAGCGTGTGATGAGAAGATGGTGGATGTTGACTGTATGGTGACCGAACTGGGCTTAAACACACAGCAGGCACAAGACGTCAAGATGACGTCAGATTGACGTTGTACCCCAATGTCATTGGGATATTTTGTTTGTTTTATGTCAGAACCCAACGTCAGGCTAATGTCAAAGTCCAATGTCCAACCTAAAATTAACCAAATGTTAATGTCTAATGATGTTACAGCTTGATGTTGTGTGGATGTTACCAGTATGACGTCTATTAGATTTTGGATTTTGGTTGCCATACCTGACATATAAATGTCAGTATTTGACATCAATATGACGATGGTTTAAGATGTTGGCACGATGCTAGATTTTGGTCACTTTTTAACACAACCTAAAATCAACCAAATATCATCGTCATTTGACTTGGACGTCAAAATAACATTGTCCTTAGACACTGGATAGACATTGAATTTTGGTCACCTGGTGGTACGACCTAAATCAAACCTAATATTAACACCTTATGATGTTGTGTGCCTGCACAACATGCACTAAAGAATGTTACGTTTACACAAATCCATAAATTAGAGGTAAATGCATCAGCTTTTTACAGCATAATACTCACTACTCTTGAGTACTTTTAAAGGGCTACTTTTTACTCATACTTTGAGTAATATTTACAACAAATACTTTTACTCGCACTACATTTTTAGGCAAGCAGTGGTACTTTTTTTTTTTTATCAAAACTTTCAGTACTCTTTCCACCACTTGTTGTTACTTATAAATGTGGTTTTAAGTGCAGAACAGAATTAATTAAAAAGAAAAATACATAAGTATATACAAAACTCTACAACTAAATAAAATACAATATAGTATACACAATTAAATAAACTTAAACAAATATATAATATAATCATCACCCAACAAAAAAAGTAATACAAATAATCCCAAAATGAACCTATATATCAGTGATGTTAGCCCATGGTAACCTTTGATTTGGCCCACCATCCCATCTGGGAAGAGAATGATGGGGATAGTTTAGGTATTGTCATTTCAAATTTAGTCTAACCTTTTATTTGATGGTTTTATTGTTAAGCTACTAAAAAGCGAACTGAAATTGAATGTTTCAATTTAAATGCGTTAGTTAAGTTTAAAATGTACATACGGTCGGATACTGACTTACTGATTCATCACTGTGTTATAAATGTTTTTAATGCATTAAGTTATTGTTAAAAAGTTATACTGCATTAGTTAATACGATTCAAAGTGATGTTTACTATTTATTTTTAAATATTATGAAATAAATTAAGAAATTACCAACAGCAACTTAATGTAAAATAGTTTGCCATATTTATCTCCGGCCCACGGCTCTCAATGATATTTGGTTTTTGGCCCTTCATACGAAAAAAGTTTGGGCATCCCTGATCTACATAATGATAAAAAGTATTATTTTTAAAATATAATTTACACACCTAACAAAGTTATTGTTTTTTAATAATGTTTTATATTGTTTTTGATCATGCAAAATTAAATGAAGTACTTAAAATAATAAATAAACTGAAAGTATGTACATTTACACAAATTTGCAATAAAACTAAATTGAATAAAACAATGGTCAAAACATGATTTTAGTTTTAGATACTGATTACCCCATAACCTATAAGTATAACTTTTGCAAATCAAGATAACAACCAAGTAACAAAGCAGCAACCCTAAAATGTGGCAATTCAAACAAGTTACTTGACAGATTTCTAGTTATCATAGACAAAATCTCCTACCCATGACGATGACATTGGCCATGCCAGCGAAAGAAGACTTCTTGATCTTGTTAATCTGGTTCTCATGAATGCGCAGCTCCTGCAGGCTTTTCGGGATGTTTGCAGGAACTTCCTTCAGGAGGTTCTTAGACAGGTAAAGTCTCTCCAGATTGATCAGAGAAGAAAACGCCTTCGCATGAATGATAGTGATCTTATTGTTGACCAAGATGAGCGTCTAAAAAGAGCACATTATATTAGTTATTAGTGTTGCAATGCATGCAGTTTCAGCTTTAAGCAACCAAACGTTCAGTCACCGTAATCTATAGTACATTCCAACTAATAAAATCTTCATTTATTTTCACTAGGATAATTAAATAGCGACGGCTCGCATAGCATTTTGGCAGCGTTTTCTCACTTTCTGTACTACTTGCATTCATTTCTCATTGGCGCCTAATGGATCCAGGCGCCTTGTGGATGTTGAGCTTGGAAAGCGAGAAACACAAAGGGCCCTCGACGGGAGGCTGTATATTATTGAAGTTCAGGACACTGAACTCTGAATCTGCTCCAAAAATGAATCATTACACTTGTGCAGTTGGGAGTGACACATTTCTTACACTGTTTTCTGGATTGGAAGCAAGGTGAAGTTCGCATTCTGGATCATGAGTTTCCCTGAAGTGACATTTTGTGAAGTGTATATGAAGATCTCCTGAGAATTTCTGCCATGTTTGTGAAAAATTGGAGCCGATATTTGCCTTCAAAGACTGCTGTGGTTGTAGCACCCAATTCCACATTTGGCAGGCCAACAACGTTTCGAGTGTTTTCTCTGGAGTGTTGCTCAAGCATTTGTTTTTTGGGAAAATAATTGCTTTTAGTTTAGAATTTCAATTTATGCGAAATGAGGCTCACGGATGGTTTTAATTTGGAAATTTGGACTTCACATTCTCTACGTTGGTTTCAAGGTCATGCAAAAATATCTCCCCTTCACTTCCAGTTAACAAAAGCAAGCAGCCAATTGATCTTAAAAATTTACTGGGTAAATCTGTTCAATTAATCAATGTAACTTCTTGTCAGCCAATCATATGACAGCAACTCAATGCATATAGGCATGTTCATGAAGATCTGCTGAAGTTAAAACCAAGCATCAGAATGGAAACAAAAAGACTTGTTGATTTTCACATACAACCATCTGGGTTTATCTAGGATGTTTGAAAAATATAACTTAAAATGACTAGAGGTCAGTGGAAAATAACCAAACTGGCTCAGTAATACAACAGCAACTCAAACAACCAACCAATTTACAACTACTGTTGTAAACCTTGAAGCAGATGAGCTACAGCAGCAGAAGAGCACACCAGTCTTACGAAAAACATAAGCCAAAATTCTCACAAAAATTGTATAATTGGGGATTGGGAAAAGGAAACGATCTGATGAATCTGAATTTCTGCTGCAGCATTGAGATGATGGGGACATAAATTGTTGTAAACATAAAAAAGAATAGATAAATCCTGCCTAAAATCTGTGATCAATAAAGCTGGTTTAAAGGTGTGAGGGAGGTTTCATTGGTACACTTTGGGAACCAATTAGTACCATAAGTACCAATTGAGCATCATTTTAAAACTAGTCTGCTTGATTATTGTTGCTGTCCATGTCCATCCTTTATGACCACAGTGGATTACATATAAACAAATACGAGTTTAGTTTTTAACAGCACATGCCTAATTTACTTACGGGTGAGTCATGGGTGGATTAATCATTGGTCATGCAAACTTTAACAACCTTTTTACCTTTAACTAAAATATTAAGGTGTTTTAATCAATTTTATCTGACAGACTGGCAGACATCTTCATTCTTACAACAAGTTTCTGAGTTCTCTCATCCTTCCAACAGACTTTGTTCTTCCGAGGTAATCTGGGAACATGTTCAGTGCTGCGAATCTCTTGCAAAAGCTTTTCCTGCTTATTTAAAATTGTCATGAATAGTGAAAACTGTTTAATATAGGCTTCTCTGAAACTGAATATTTCACTTAAATTTTTTTTAGGCTAGATTATTATTTTATTTGTTTTGGGGCATATAGCGGACTTGTTTTGTAGTGCTTCACCTCAAATGTTATTCTATATTCTTGTTTATAGATAACTGAACAAAGATACTTTAAAAGTAAGATAAAAATTACAGTAAATGAAATTTGTTTAAAAAAAATATTACTTTCCAAGAAAAATATACAAATTATATTTTGGTTTGTGCTCCACTCCACTACTTAACTATACAGGTGAATGATTTGTTACGCTCTGTAAAAAATAAGGATTTAACGAATGCTTCTTTGTGATTGTTGTATCACAAACCCTAGTTATATATTTGCATTTTTTTTACTATGTCATTATTTTAAAGATTATGTCTTGAGCATTAGATTTTTCCTTGCTGCTGCTGATGTGCTTTCATTTTCTCCATCTCACTCGCAGCAAGTTCAGGCGAGGGATTGTTTAATAAACAACTCTGGCAGAAAAACATACATTTATTTTTAAAAGAAATCATAAGTTTGACCCTATCCAAGTCTTAACAAATGCCCTTAAATATCGTAGTTATTAGTTATCTGCAAGCATTAGTGTTTAATGAGATTGAAATAAGAAAAAAATTAAATTGAGATAAGAAATATTGTTTTAGCAACACTTTGGGAAATAACGCTCGTCGTAAATGTCACAGGGTGACTGATCGTAAAGGCGTGCGTAGTCTGGCACATTTGTTACCCACAACAGGTCAAGATTTTATCAGAAAAAAAATTACATAAACTGAAATAGTGACTTTCGTAACAGACAATAAAAATCGTGTGATCTGACTGGGCCTTAAGTTGGCTTTTATGTCACAAGGTTAATGTCTTGTAATTCACTTTAAACTTTCCTAATTTTATGAATGATTATTTTAGACTTACGGAATTGGAGATGAGCAGAATACGTCTGTTTGTAAAACAAACAGCGTCATCTGCTGTTAATGCATTTTGAATATCTCACAATTCACGTAATTTCTTGAACAAATTTTGGCCACAGCTTTAACAAATAGTCTGCACACTCTAGATTTCTTTGGGATGTTAGAGCACCTTTGAGATGTGGTAGATCACATAATATAATATAAATAAAAATACAAAGCAGTCACTAGGGTGGGATCTTTTAATCTTTTAAAAATGTACATCTTTGTACTTTTTAGGCACAAATTTGTAACCTTTAGATACTAATATATATATATATATATTTAAGATACCAGTATGGACCCTGTAAAGGCAGTGACAGGACTAGTTACAGTTTTGTACATTTAAATCTGAGATTGTGTCAATATGGACGATGTTGAATCTATTGCCTTGAAGAATTAAGGTAGTTTTGAAGGTAAAAGTGGGTCCAATCTGGTACTAGCTGGGCTCTACTAATAAAGAAGCCAGTGAGGTTTAAAAGCAGACAGAGAAATGCCACTGCTTCCACGATTCAATTAGAGAAAATGCAGTTAAAAGAAAAGAGAACAAGGAAAGGAGAGAGTGATTGAAAAACTCACTTGGAGACCCTTCAGGCCTTTGAAGTCGTTTTCTTTAATCTCCGTGATCTTGTTGTTCTGCAGGTCCAGGAGAGTGGTATCAAGTGGAATTTTTTCTGGAACAGTCTTCAGACCTTAAAGACAGAGAAATGCAATTTAGTGAGAGAAAAAATGGCATTGTTGAAATGGGATATGAGCTGATCTGGGCTTCTGTGGCTAGAGTCTACTTTGACATCATGTCAGCTGTAGACGTATGGATCCAACACTAACACAACACACTCGGATACTAACACAAGAATCCTTCAAGAGTATAAATTCTCGCAGTAAATGGAGCCGCGACATTCCTGGAAAACATTTAAACGGCAGAAAGAATGTGAGCTCCAGCCATCATTGTATAGATGAAACCATTTATAGAAGTGTTTATGAGCTACTATTCTACATGTGCAACATAAGAAGCATTTCAATAATAATTTAAGACCAGGAATGGAAATAATTGTAGTTCTAGATAATATCTAATTATAAGTAATTAAATCAATATAATATAATATAATATAATATAATATAATATAATATAATATAATATAATATAATATAATATAATATAATATAATATAATATAATAATATAATATAATATAATATAATCAAAATGAACTATTGAAAATGCATGACTCATTTAGCACTTTAATTACTATTATATTTATTAATTATATATTAAATACTATAAAAAAAACTAAATCTTTAACAGTAAATTTAGTGATTGATTATTGTTCAATGAATAAAAACACCTAAAATAAGGGAAAATTAAATTAAATTAAATTAAATTAAATTAAATTAAATTAAATTAAATTAAATTAAATTAAATTAAATTAAATTAAATTAAATTAAATTAAATTAAGTTAGTAAGGGTCCAGATACATTTTAGCGTTTCTAAACTGAAGGTTCATTGAGTTGATCAAAGACTCCTATGCCAAAAAGTCTCTGTTTTTCTTGGAAGGACTATAAAAGCTGCGCAATGCTGTCAAATGCAAAAGCTGACATAAGATTTCCACACAAGGGGAATTTGATTTTGCCAACATCAGACGACAGTATGACGTAACCTTTGATTAATGCGTTACAGACCAGGTTACATGGACTGAAAATATAGTGACGGCAAAATTGTTTTTAAGCCATGCCTTCACATTTACCAATGCCTTGGCATTATATAACAAAAACATCAAGCCAAGTGCCATAAAAATAATTTAAGAGCATAAACACTTTGTTTGAAACAAAACAGGAAACTGACATCATTAAATGATAAAATATATACTTTTTGTCCATGTTTGTGTGTCAAAAAGCTTTTTGGGGCCACTGTATACCACAGTGTTTTCTTTAATGTAAGAAAAAATAGCATGTACACACACATACACATACATAAATCTGCTCCAACAAATCTAAAAGCTTTTTAGGCAGAGCCACACACAAACATCGCTTGGTTTTGTTTAGCGGTGAGTTTCCTCATCAGCAGATGTGTATAAACAGTTTAGGAATATGTCCATGTTAATTATATAGCCACAGGACAAAGGACACAGAGATCACAATTGGAAATATCACTGCTGCCGAGATGCCTCACAAATGATCCTTCAGCTTTGTTTAGTCTAATTTTGTAGTGGCTACACATCTCAGCCAATCGATGTAGGTCAAAGTGTTTTATTATGGAATATTTTATCAGTATGTAATCCAAAAAAAGCCGTAATAACACAATAAAAACTGCCCAATCTTAGTAAACAAGCTGGAAAGTGAAACAAATGTTAAGCTCACTGGCAACCCTGATGGAACAAACACATTAAACTATTCAAAAACAAATAGTCCTCTGTGGTTAAATAATATTTAGCCACTAAAATCAGCAAGTGATTTGAAAACAAGAGCAGCAAATAGCGTAAAACCTGTGACTCGCGGATGCTAAATCCATTCCTTTTTAACTACTAATTTTATAGGTGAGGAATTAAAACACGAGACGCTGTTTAGTCCACAATACATACAAGAGTGCTAGTATGTTTTTAATACATTTATCACATTGCTAGTAGCATTATTTGGCATGTTTAATTAGTTACATTACTAGCATGCTGTAGCCCATTGCTAATGTTTTTTTTTGTAATTTTCTTTAGTGTTTAGTAATAAAATGTTTTCTGAAGAGAAGCACTGTGGCTGGAACTACTCTTTGTTTTCATCATGGACTATACATGATGACACTACTCACTCATTAAATACAATTTGTTATATATTTTTAAGTAACGTACTTGTGCTTAAACATGTAGCAAGTTGCTAACATGTTCTAGTACGTTGTTAGTACATTTCTAGCCTGTTTTAGTTCAGTTTTAGCACATTGCTGGTATATAAAGCACAATTAAGCAGGTTGCTAACATTTAGCACATCCCTAGCATATTAAGATACATTATTAGCATGCTTGCACTTTGCCAACATTTTCCTAAATGCTGCAGATTTGGCCCTCAATTAGATATTAAATACATGTTCTAACAGTATAACATAGCTGAGTCTACGTTTTATATTTACATTACAGTTTGAGGCTTTGGGCGATTGATTCATCTTATAGTCACTGATTAAACACATTTTGAACAGAAAGTAACATACTTAAACATGTTTTAGGAAGTTGCTAACATCTTCTAGTGCATTGTTAGAATGTTTTAGCACACTGGATGTTTTAATGCATTGTTAGCATATTGTCAACATATTTTAGCATGCTACTAACATTTTAAAACTGCTAACATATTTCATGTTTTTCTATATTAAATCTAAATTTCAATTCAATTCATGTTTATTTAAATAGCGTTTTAACAATGTAGATTGTGTCAAAGCAGAACATAGTTCTAGTAAAGATCAGATTTCAGAGTTCAGTTTAGTTCAGTTCAGTTTATTGTTGTTTAAATTTCATTACTGAAAGTTCAAACACTGAACATTTTATGTGATATAGCCTAATACATTTCAACATTTGTATACTCAGTAATAGGTAGTAAATATATGTACTTTTTAAATACAGTAAGAAAAGTGCACAGTCATTGTATTTGTTCAGGGAGGTTTGAACTGTATTGCTAGTCAGTTTCAATGAGATTCCTGGTAGACACTCAAACAATTATTATTTTTTTTTCAATTATCCCACTTCTACCAGACAAAAAATACTGAGAAAATACTGCTTAAATGTGGAAAGCAAGTAAAAACACTATCAATCTCTTAATTAATCTTTCCTAGACAGACAAATTCATTTTTGCCGTTAGTTGTTCTTTGTTTCTGGCACTATTTCCAAGTGGTTTTCCCCACAGCTGCATTAACTGGGTCACATATTCCTCTGAAAAGAGGTGAAGTTAGATGAAGAACAGGCGCGCCGGCACACCTTTCCCCCTCTATTCTTTTCCAGGTTTGTTTCATGCCAAAAGACCTGTGGAGCAAATGAGAACAGTAGACCTAAGCTACTTGGGCTTCTTATTTTTCCTTGAGTGTCGAGTGTTAATGTTGTGAAAGAATGGAACTGGCTCTAACTGAGCACTGCTGTTCTTGTTTTGCTTGGTCAAGACTATTTTTGTTGAAGTTGCATAAGTATGGATTTTGAAAATTTAAAAAAGATCTACGTTGAGCCCTGTTTGTCTGCATTAGATGGAAAAATCCAGAAAAATTTATTCTAAAACTACAAATTTGCTTCAGTTGAAAAAAAAAAAAAACATATACATTTTTGGGAAGCACTTTAAAATAATATTCCTGTAAATAATGTATTTACTAACATGAACAAGCAATTATTGAACTATTATGATATTTATTTATCATTGTTAATTTTATTTAAAGGTTCAAGACACCCTGGGGGACATTTTTATTTTTGTTTTATCAAATTTGTGTGTGTTGAGCATCAGTTAAGACAATGTTAGCACTTCAGCTTTAATTGTGGGGAAAACTGGATAATTTTGAGCTGTTGTAAGCTAATTTCATCTTCCGGGTTTAAAATAATTTTTGGGGTAAGATCAAAATCGGTGACGTAGCGCAAATCTGCTAGTGGAGTGATGATGTGTTAGTTTCTCATTATTATTCATAGCTGAGTTTACTTATTCAACGAGAAGACCCTGCTTCTCAATTATTCATGAGAGCACGTGCTTTCTAAAAGCAAGGCCGACCTGCCAAGCTGTGAGACCCAGTGCCTCTGTGAGACCGTGTCTATACAGCAGGGTTTGTTTCAATGATTCACAAGGTTTGTTGCATGTTTTTCCAAGTGATTTTGTCAGGCCCGATAAAGCAAAGCTGTTGGTTTGCAGCAAGCTTTTTTGTCAAAAGAGCTGTACGAGAATTGGAGAATGCCGGAATTTGTCTTTTATCAGTTGAGTTTGTTACCATTCAGACACATTGCCTATATCCTTGCTGCTGTGTTCGCCACATGTTTAAAATCCTCCAGATTATCGGTCTCGGTAATGGTTGAAATATATTAGAATAGAATATGAATATAGCAAGACATTAAATTACTTGGTATTTTTTTGTTGCATTTTACCTAACTAAAAAATAATGGGTCTCCTAACGGTTTGTGTCTCATTTTGTGAGCCATCTTACAACAGTTGTTTGCTCCCCTTTTTCCCCTGCTTTGCTGGCCATGTCCACTCCTCCCTCTGCTCGCAGCACTTCACGCCCATTACAAAGCTTTTTTTTTTAAATTCAAAGGTAGACTTGAACCAAAAAAAGGGGTTTCATGACCCTTTAAGTTAAATAGCACAACTTTGGATTTGAATAGTGCATTAGTTAATGTTGAACTATGATTAATAAATGCTTCAAAAGATTATTCATACTTAATGTTAGTAAATACATTAACTAATGAATCATTATTCTAAAGTGTTAGCCATATTTGATAGCCAAGGGGTGAATAATTGTTTTAAATGTACAGGTACATCATCTTTTAGAGATTTGCTTTTAGACAATGTATATCATTTTTGTTTTCTTTCTGAATTCTCAGATCAATTTGAGGAAAATACTTTAATGTCGTCTTAATTAGACTACTAAATAAATTATGGAATAGTAAAATGGCCGACATTGAGCCCTTTTTCCACATACATTTAATAGAGTAAAAACTGTTTCCTCTAAACCTAAATTACCGCTACAGCTAAAGCAAGAAAGTCATGGATGGCCTGGGGTTAGGGAAATGATCATGATACCCATTTAACACATCTTTAAAATGTTCCTCCAACTTAGGATTTGTAGACTCTTCCCTTGGTTTATTTGGTCAGGACTATAATAAGAAGAAAATGATTCAATTTGTCCACACTTTGTGACTTTTAATGACTTTTGGTCTCCTTAAGGGTCATATTTTGTGACATCATGTCTTGTTTATGATTTATTTGAAGTTTTTAGTCTGTGTTGTGTTCATATTTCATTCAAATTGTACCAGAAAGCATATGGAAGCGGACAGAGACCCATTTTAAACTAACCAATCCTGCCAAGTGTGAACAACACACCCTTAATCAAAATCTGTGGTATTCCAAATGTTCATGTTGCTGTATGGTTTTATTTGACTTCTCCCAAATGATGCCGTGAAAATATTGTTATGTACTGTTTATATATTTTATACCTATAGAACATAAACAAATGTACATATTTCTAGAAGGATTGAATGCTAAAATCTTTTGAGTTTATTTTTTAGAAGTAATAAAAAAAGATTTAATCATGAAGAAAATTAAACTTTATTATCGAAACAATCTGAAGGGTTTGCTGACTCTGTGTCTGTGTTTTTGTTTTTATTAAATCACTAGTGACAGAGGGCAGTTTTACAGGAAGAGAAGTGGTAATGTTTGGAAGTAACCTAATAAAACAGGAGACCTGACTTTCATAAGTATTAACATACACACTCACACATGCCTGGGGATTCAATTAGGAAAATAAGGCAGCCGTCTGGAGGTTAGTGCCTAGTCGTCTACGGAAGTGAGTGCAGTTAACAGCATATGAAAACATTTAAAGTGGTTTTGAAGCAGTGACATTAGTAATTCGGTGGTGACTCAACAATGGGCAGATCAAACATAAAGGCTGCTTGGCCTTTGACGGTTGATGTCATGACAAAACTGACATCAGGCATAGGACCAAACTCCCATCGAAGGAAAACAAAGAAAGAAATATAACTAGCATGACTATTAAGTAAACTGTATTGAACTTAAACTCGGATGTTGCCTTGAAAAGGAATTTTTTTTTTATATTTTAAGAAATATTAAGAGTTGGGCATCACGGTGGCACAGTGGGTAGCACGATCACCTAACAGCAAGAAGGTTGCTGGTTCAATTCGTTTGATCAGGTTTGTATAACTAAGGTTGGAACTAAACTGTGCAGGGCTGCGGCCCTCCAGGAATTGAGTTTGACATCCGTGGTCTAGACACAGGCAGAGGGACCATCAGAAAGGCTAACAGATGCTTGACAGGGCTTTGCAAGGTTTTTTTTAAACTTAAGTCAGTTGCTAATGTGTAGCCAAGGCATTAATAATATGCATACTTATTATAGATGTTTTCCTTCTAAGTTACTCTAGACTATTTGCTAGATCTATGCAACAGTGTTTTGGATAATTGCTAGGCAGGTGACTGAGTGATCTCTGTGTTTGCTAGGATGTTGCAAGGGCATTCTTTAGCATTCTGTGTGGCTGCTGGGGCATTGCTACACAGTTTGAAGTTTGTAGGTTTTGCAGGTCAAAAGAAAAAGAAATGAATGGACCATCAGATCAATTCAACCTAGGCTCATTCTGAAAACCTTCCGCTTTATCAACCAGAGGCTGCTGTGTACGCTTTTTCAGATTTCAAGTTTGTCTTACGAGTACCATTCGAACCTGCTGTTCTCATGTAAATCCACTAGTGGCCGCTGTCGACTGACTGACTGACTGACCAATTGACTGACCCACCCTCCTCCTTCCCTAAACCCAACCAATTGTATTGGTTGACCCGCCCACCCACTTCCCTAAACCCAACCAACAATTTTCAAAAGCAATTCAGGAAAAGAATAGAACTGTCCGATTTTTACTACGTTTTACCACATTCTAACTCTGTTATTTACTTGTTTATTTTATGGATTCTGTTTTTGTCTTACCTGCTTTCTCGAACCATTCTTGACCAGACTCAAACCCCTCGTCGTGGTTAACTCCTTTCTGCATCTTAAGTTTGCCGACGTACCACAAAGCCGCCCATATGGAGGTAAGCGGTCAGCTGGTAATTGTGAAAAGGAACGACTTCATACCACCCCGTAGCGTTCATTTTTAAAATAAAATGCAGCCATACGCACCTCTGCCTACATAATTTGTGGTCTGCAAAAACGTATTTAGGTCTACGTTTTCAGAAAGAGTCTATGTTGGATATATTATAAGATGGTTACTACATTTTTGCTAAGTTGTTCTGGGTGGTTGTTAGGGTGTTGCTAAGGCACTGCTAGTTAGTATCTAGTTATGAACACTTTATAAGGTATCAGAAAAATGGAATAGATTTTGGGTGGTCTGTTGATTGAAGTCATCAAGTTTGCTATTGTCACTTATCATTTTGCAATGTTGCCTAAAAACTATAATGATTCTAGTCTCATATCTCCAAGCAGTCTCGAGTAAATAAAATGGTTACCTAGGTCAGAACACTGGGCCACCCGCAGATGGCACTGGCATCGGAAGGGGCAGAAAGGTACTTCAGGTCCTTCTGGCATCATAGGAAGTCTTTCAACGTGTGGTTTACGAGTGGTAGGCAATTCTGGACCTGGACCATCTCCTGAAGCCGGTTCATCCTCCATTACAAAGTCCATAAAGCCGGACTGACGGAAGGGCAGAGCCCAGCATACAGACACCAAAAGCAGGGAGAGACAGGCCGATTTCATGTTGCTGACGAAGGCCTGGGGGCAAAATGGAGAAGAGAAGGGGTTAAAGGTGAGGAATGATATGCTGGGCGGCGTCTCAGGAACTGTGATGGTTAGAGGTCAAAAGTCAATCGGCAGATGTAGAGAGAGTGAATGTGACTTAGAGATGTCAGTGATAACTAGGAAGAGGTCAGGGGTCACAGCTATGTGTATTAGATTTTAGAGGTCTCTTGCGGCTACTGCTTTTTAGGGTCTTAGACTAATAGTAAACTTCAAAATATGATCCTTGCAAAGGACTTTTCATTAGAGTTTCAGCATCAACACCACAACAGTAGGATGCGCTATGTCGAGCAGGGATCATAGTAGATGTGACAGTTGACAACACATTTGATTTGTAGATCAATTGCAAAGTTTAAGTTAATAATTTTTTTTATGTTTTTAAGACAAGTTAACATTAAATATCAGAAGACAATGCAGTTTTTACTTTGATTATATTACTCTTTGTACCTGAATACTGGTAAATTCTTCAGAAAAACAAACTACGGTTTAGTTGCATCTTTGTTCTACTGTATATCTCTATACCTGTAATTTATTATATTTTATATAAAAGCACTGCCCTTTAAAAAAATACCCCAGTCAATCTAAAAAAACTAATCATTTTCAAATAGAGCTATTCAAATCACCTGAAGAAGCTTTTTATATTGCAGTGTTCATTTTTCTTGCTATATATAATGCAGTCATACAGCACATACACTTCATACAATGGCATACAATACGCTAGTTCAAATGTTTAAAGATTTAGAATGCATTACATCAGCCAAAAGTCTGAGTAAATGTCATAAAGTTGAAGATGAATTCAAATTGGCATAAATGGTGGCATTAATCTCAGGAACAATACGGCAATTAAATCACATTAAGACATTGCTAACACACAATATGATGTCATATAAAAAAAAAAAAAAACAGTCCAAAATGAAGTCACTCATGAACTTAGAAACAGCATACTAAGCGGACTTTGGTAAACTAAGCGGAAATTGGTAAACACCTTCAAACCTAAATGTCGATGGTAATGATTTATTACATATGTGTGGCTTTGAGGCTTTTTAAAAAGTTTTATATGTATTTTGTTATTGAAAGGAATATGAACAGCACACACAGTTGAAGTCAGAATAATTTTTAATTTAATAATTTTTTTAAAATATTTAGCTTAAAGGGGATAATAATTTTGACTTTAAAATGGGTTTGAAAAAATTAAAAACTGCTTTTATTCCAGCTGAAATAAAACAAATAAGACTTTCTCCTGGAGAAAAAAATATTATCAGACACCCTGTGAAAATTTCCTTGCTCTGGTAAACATAATTTGGGAAATATTTAAAAAAGAATAAAAATTCAGAGAGAGGCTAATAATTTTGACTTCAACTGTATTTAGTCATCAAATTTGGGTGGTTGTTTACTCCCAGGGCCCTATTATATACCCGGCACAGTAAGATTAGACGTGTTTGTCGCGATTTGTTGCTATTTTCAGACTACCGCAACTCTAATTTTCACGTTTTGCACCACATTGTTTAAATAGCATTTCCATTTGTGCCACTTTGTGGACTCATTGGTGTTCTGGTCTAAAAAAGGAGGTGTGTTAAGGCGCATTGTTGGCGGTTGCTATTTTGAGAAAAGGAATAGAGCACGCCATTGACCAAAAGCTGCTCTAAAGTCCAGCGCAGAGCTCGTTAATTATGCGCCTATGCAGGTTCAATTCCTTAATACACATAGGATGTACAGCAATACACAAATATCTTAACATATATAAAACAATTAAGGATTAAAGTGTTACAAAAATTATTGTTTGATACATAAATATAAAAATCACTGCCTTCAAGCCTTCATTTAATTTTTAGTTTATTAATTTGTCATTTTTATTATAATGTTGTTATTATTATTAGTGGTATTATTTATTATATTTATTTTTGTTTTAATAAAAACAAATTTAGATTTGTCCACCAGTCGGGTTTTGGAGACATACAGGATGCATCAGCATATATGGCATAAAAATAGGACGTGTGTTTGGATGTGTTTTAACCACATTTTGTTATTACTGTTCATTTATTAGTATGTTGGAATTTAGAACTGAATTTAGAAATAGTCTTGAAACAAATCTTTGTGCTTAACAAACAAAATTAAAAATGTAGGCTAATAGATGACTTCAGTGGAGCGCGTACAACACCATTTCCTTATCCACGAAAGTAAACAAGTAAAGAGAAAGTATAGAGGCCGAATGGAGAAGGCTTGTTCTTTATCCTTGCGCTGCATATGGTCTGTTTAACTGTTTTGTCACAAGTGAAGCGTTCAGTTTTTCCACTTACAAAGTCCGCCATGTAAATAGCAAACATTCCATTGCGCGGCGAAACTGACTCTTAAAGGGAATGTGAGATGAGACTAAGTGGTTTAACACACCCTCACAACACACAAACTCATTAAGAGAATAAGCATAACCTTGTTAGACCATGCGCCACGGCATAAACCTTATTTTCCCATCCTTAATATAGCAAAAGTGGATTCGGAGACGCCCTTAATGCTTTTGCGCCATGCGCTTTAGACTTAATTGTTCCTAGAGCTAGATCGTTAAAATAGAGCCCCCAGTATGCTGAGTAATTAACTGAGGTATTTCCTTTTTTGTCACCCTTAAAGAAGAACGAACAACAACTTTGCTCAGAGTATAACAGAAAAATTGGGCGTCAAACATACCATGTAGCCCCCTGGAAGTCCCAGTTTGAAGACCCTGCACACTCTATCTTTAAAAACTCTTCATAGCTGACCTGGTGTTAAACTCCAAACTCATTCATGCCTTCAGTCAGGGAAAAATAAAACTTGTCTGCTTTCTCAGAAAGAGTGCACAAAGCTGTCCATGAGCCCGCAGATAAACATATGTCTGGACGTCGCTGAATGATGAGGAAATTGTAAAGTAGGTACAGTGACTCCCAGAGCTCAGTTCGACATTTCAGGGTCATCTCAGGTCCATGTAATCAACATACGGCATAATTACAGTAGTTCAAATCCTCCGGGCGGCCACGTCACTCGGACGCCGAATAGCCGCTGCGCCTCTGTTGTTAAACTCTGGAAACCCAAGAACTGACCTTGACAACCTTCTGCAAAAGAGCTTTTCTCAATTCTTCAAGCAGTGGAAGACAGCGATACATAAATTTCAGCTCAGTGCAGACTTATATACGATGAATTCGGTGACACGTTGCATTGAGAAACCATAAACAGGCAGGATAATCGAAAACGAATGCAAATGCAAAAAGCAGAATTTGTCTCCCGCAGCTCACACAAGATGACCTACAACCTCAGATTCCTGTTGATCCGCATCGCAGGAGAGCATGTTGAAGCAATTTTCTGAGGTTTCCTCAGCTCGACCGGGTATCCATGTCTCAACAAAAACAATGAGAAATTGTAGTTTTCTTCGATGGCATTTCAAAGCAACAACTTACTGGCCTTGCTATTTAATTTAATGCTACGGTTTTGGGCCTGGATACACTCAACATCCATCCACTCAGACACCTTTAATTACCTTTGACCCAGAGACGCTTTGAGCAAACACACAGCAGAATCACTTTGCCCTTTCACATTTAAGCATTTGGTGGATTTATAGCACATTCGGGGTTGTTTTATGCTTATGTGTCTCTGGGAATTGAACCCGCGGCCCTGTGCTATGCTCTAGTTGAGCCGCATAAACTCTTTCAACGATATGTATTCCCACCAGGAATGAAGCCAGACTACATGTTTTGAGCCTTAGGATTTGGTCAACAGGATGAAAAGCCCTCTGTGCTTTACAGGCTGTCATCATGACCCATTCTGTTTGCCGGGGGATCATGGGAAGCTGTTGCTGCATTTGAGTTGCGTCCTGTCAACAAACCACAGGCTGCTATAGGAGGCAGGCAAACAGACTAGACAGATTGATGGTGTCATGGCTTTGTTGGGAAAATGCAGGCTGGGTCCAAATTTTTACATTCTCCAATTTCAAAATGTCTTTTGGCGAATACTGTAGAAGCACCTGCACACTGTAATAAATTCCCGACATGAATTTTACGACATGTTATACTGTAATTTTTCCACAGTAAATTACATTAGTGTCACTTTACAGGATTTAACTGTAAAATTTTACGCATTCAGAATTTTATTGTGAAATTAATCATCATGATTAGAGCAAATTATTGTAAAAATGGCTATATCTTAGGCACGTTAGTTATAGGAAACACTATTAATATTTTATTCAACATAGAAATTAATACACATTAACGTTTATGCTAGTACAGGCACTTTTGTTTTGATATTTAGAAAAAAAATACAGAAATATTGTTATTATGAAGTACCTCACAGTAATTAACTGTGAACTTACATACAGTACCTTACTGTGAAAGTATATACTAAGTCAAATATTTTACAGTGCAAGATAATAATAAGTGTTTTTGTTTTACTTCATGTGACAAACACCTAAATAAATATACAATGTTACAATGCAATGTAACTTGACAGTATTTTTACAGTACGTAAAGTGTGGTTTTAGCATGCATACAGTACATGTTTTACGACACTGTTATATTAAATGTTAAACTGTATCATACTGACATCATACATTGTGTTGCAATGTTTTGCATTCAGTATGAAATACTTCAGAAATCTTTTTTGCTGCATTCAATTTCACATTATGCAGTCAATATTTGTGTCAATAGTTGTAATCTATGTTTACATAATCACAATTTTTTGTGATTTCTAATACTTAGTCTAATATAAACAATTTAAAAATAGATACACAGGAATATATTTTAAAAGTATATATATAAATATATATAGAGGGTATTTTAGAGTAGTTTGTAAAATTATGTGTACATTGTTAGCATATGTATATGAACACTAGGGGTGTAACACATCACGATTGATCCATAATCCGTATGGATCACAACCCACAGTTTGGAACACACATGAACCGCAGATTAATAACTTTTTTGAACTTGTAGGTTAATCCAACATTTATAATAATTGCA